TCTTTCTTTCTTTCTTTCTACACTCGAGGCACACCGTTTAATCCAATTAGGAGCGCTCTTTATATTATAATACGCGTATAAATATGTGCACAAGATGGATATATATATATAAGATGTGTGTTAAATAAACGGGCGAGATTACATTACACGCGCGCGTACCTCTGTTACAGTTCAAACATCCTCAGCGCTCCGTTAAATGCGGATCCATTGTGCAAACAACAACAACAAGACGATCGAAACACGTTTAAATAAACGCTTAAACAATGAAATTCAACAGTAATCAACGCGAACCAATTAGTAGATTTGTGTACAAATTGAATGGTCGTGCCCATTCAGCGTTTGAAGATAAGATGTTTTCAATACTGAACGAAAGATCTAAGTTAACTTTGTAAACAACGCAAAATCTGGTCACGAAGTAGGAAGTCATTGAGTGTCTGTAACTATAGTGAAAAACAGAAGAACTAATGACGTTTAAAGAGTAGCAAGTAATTCAATACGTCACGTGCACTTGACCAGACAATTGAAAACAGATATTGTTACCTCTTGTCGAGGAGGCGCCTTATTGATGATGTCGCACATCTTATGTACTCGCATAGTCCGTTTTTTTTTTAATTTCATACGTATCCGCACTATGCGAGGTATTGTTAATAATTGGTAGTGAAAAAGCACATACGAACATACTGAAAATAAAGTATGAAATGAGAGAAGAGATGTACGAGTTGATTGCTCGATTTAGAAAGTGGCCAATAAATCGTAGGATATTTGCTCGGAAATGTGTGAAAGAAAGAAGAAAAATGTGGTCTCCGTTACGACACGACGAACTGAACAGAAAATTGAGAAGAAAAGAAAAAGAAAATAAACGTGTTTTCGGACGATTACGGATGGGGATTACGGGGATTCTTCGATGGAAGCGGAGGCGAGATCTTCACATAATGCCCCCAATTGAGAGAGGGCATGCATCTAGGATGCGAATGATATATTACCATGACAATGGGGATGGGCAATAAAAAAATGAAAAGGAGAAGGAGGCGGAGGAGGAGGAAGATGTGGTTGATTTTGAGAGGAGCAGCGAAAAAAGGGACTTTCGGATTTCATTGGTTGCGCGTTTTTGTGGCCAACAGAGAAAATAAATGTGTTCGAACTGAAGACGGAGATAAAATGTATAGATATAGAAAAAAAAAAGGAGAGAGGAGATGAAAATATACATAATTTATAAGAGACGGACACTGAGTGTTCGACGGAACACTCACACACACACACACATTGCCCTATAAAAAATTGATCCACTAACCCTGAATCGAGGAGAAAGGGGGCTTGGGGGGAATTCGCGCGCGCTCTCGCCGTGGTGCGGTGGACTTACGCAACGCGAAAAACGAGCCAAGAAGAAGTAGATGAAGATGACACGACGATGAAGATGAACGTAATACTTACAGAGCGGTGACGGTGAAGTAGGCGGCTGCCAGGTTCGAAGATAAACAAAACCAAAAGAACGTAGAAACAGCAGCAACAACAACTAACTAGATTGTCTAATCCAAAAATTTAAAAAAACAAAACACGATAATCCGAATCAGGGATGTAGGAGGAATCGTCGATGCAACAAGGGAGTCGTTCACGTTTCTCTCCCCTTTCTTTTTGTATCTATTTCTGTTTCTTGTCTCTCACTCGTGCCTCGGACCGCAACATAACTTTAACTCTTTCTCGATTCGATCACCACCACTGGCCGATATCGCGTCGCAAATTTCGAAAAGAAAAATTAAATTTAAAGTTACTGGAATAAGTAACAATCTCGTTCACTCGTGGAGTGTTACTGCTGTCAGTGTTATTATTGTTGTTGTGTTGTTGTTCTTCATTTTCTTCCACGAAACACACACAAACACACCCACTTTACTTAGTTTGAACGTATCTGTATCTGTATATTGAAAACGGTGTGCGCATTGAGAGAGAGTTTAAAGTGTTCGAAAAGAACGTATACGAACGGCGGCGGCAGCGGCACTGGGGCAACAAGCACACAGGAGAAGAAGTAACAACACGCGCGCACGACTCTCGGCGTCCGCAGAGCGACTGATGATCGCTCGCCGTTCGGTTTCGGTTTGTTGTTTGGCTGGCGAACGGGGGACGACGACGACGATGCGATGCGATGCGTTTCTCGGGCAGCGCGAACCAAAGTTGAACTCGCGTGTGTCCTACTAGTACATACCGACGTTCCTGCCTCCTCCTCATCATCCAACTCCTCGTCGAAGATGCTGTCCAACACGAAAATCGCATCGAAGAGCTGAAGAGAAGCAGCGATCTCCCGAAACTAAAACAAAAACGAGTTGCGAACCGAAGAATCAAATAGTTTTAAAGAAACGCATCAAATCTAGTCTAATGAAGAGGGAGAAAGAAGTTAAATAGAACCAATGCAAGGAAATGTTAACTTGAATGAATGAAAACAGTTTAACTCACAAGAAGTGAGATAATTTGAGATACAAATAAGACGATTTTAAACGAAGAAAATACTGAAAAATTAAGTAAATCAAGGAGGAAATAGTGTTTTTTATTTCTAGCATATAACGGGGGGAGTTGAGATTATTAATTGTTGTTATTAACTATTAATAACAATATATATATTTATTATTGTATTTGTTTTCGTTGACTTAATAAAACTTAAAATTAAGAAATATTCTAAATTCAAATTAATTTATTGTTATTAATATTAAATAATAGTAGATGGTGACTGCGTTATTGTATAAATTATAATAATAATAAAAGACACTGTCGGGATTTCGATGCAGTCGGGATTATGGTTGTCGGAATTTTTTGATATAGTCGGGATTTCGAACGTCGGGATTTCAATAGTAAAAGTATTTAAGAAGTAAAAAATTATTATATATGTTTATAGAATTGTGTAAGTTGTAGGCATTCGCTACAATACATTTTGAACTTGTAAAAACCTGCACATAATGATATACCAGTATCATCTTGTTACAAACATTCGCGCAGTCTCAGAGTAAAGATCTTAATAATTATAAAGATATCCCAATATAAATAATAAATTTACAAAAAAAATCAATATCTGCTAAGTAGGGGGTCTACCCAAAACCGAAAAACATGGCAAGGGGTCTGCGACACAAAAAAGTTTGGGAACCTCTGATGTAAATGAAGAGATGAAAATTTAACGAAAAGAAAGCACGAAATAAGCGAAGTTTGTTGAGTTGAAGGTAAACAATGCCAATAAATTTTGGAGGAAACAAAGAAAAAACTTGAATTTTCTCACGTGAAACGTGAGTATAAAAACTGGATGCAAGGTGAATAAGAAAACGCAAATACACAAGAGGAGGAAAGGCAAACAGAGAGCGATGAGAAAACGTGAAGGAGCAAGTGGAGAGTGTTTTTTGATGATAAAGCAACCCCTACGATGAAATAAAAGAGGAGCAACAACAACAAAAAAAAGAAGAAAAAAACACATGGCCTTCTCTTCGGACGTGCGAGGGAGAATTACAAATAAGGGAACGAAAATGTAAAGAAATCGAGTGAGAGAGAAGTGAAAAGAGATTGATCGATTGCATCCACTTGGAGCGAAGAACGCGTAATCTCGAGATAATCTCGGATTGGAATAAAGGGTTTTTCTGCTGCTGGGTTGCGAGACACGAGTTTGAATTCGACGCGAGAAGTAAAGTAAATAAACGTAAGAGGATTTGCCGGCACAAAGAAACCCTTCTTCTCCTTCTCTCTCTCTCTCTCTTATACACAAGGGGGATAAGAGATAACAATTGTAATCTTATCGGGAAAATTTTTAAGAGAGCAAACGAAGTATGTTTACTCGGATTACCGTTGTTCGAAAAGAAGGGATTACGTTCTTCCTTACCTACCTTTAATCAAGGGACAACAACAACAACAACGGAAAATTACCAAAGAATAGGTACTTCTTATTTGATTAACATCTCCAAATCCAATCTGCACACGCAAACGGAATACAAAGCAAAACTAAATCTAACATCAGCCTTCAATCCATTTCTACGACTATTCAAACCCCGAAAGCAAAGGATCAAGTTTCAACCGGTGTTATTATTGAATCAGCGCCATGGCAACATATCAATAATCTAACCCCTTAATTATGATTGAAATTGCAGAAATGCATTTATATCCGATGTTTTTTTAATTAATTAATGAATGAATTAACAAAGTTAATATTGCAAGTAGGAATAGAAAACACTCACTTTTCGTCATCTCCGTATTCTTCGCTTCTTCTCACAACTCTTCGGAAGTGGTGAATCGAATCGAATCGGCGAGCAGCGACCGCGCAAACGTCAAAACAACAAATGTCAAACGACCACGGCCAGCCTAATTTTCACCTCCGCATCAACATCTGAAAGCAACGCCAGATACGATGTGGAAACACGACAGTTTTTTTTTTCTTCTTCTTACATATATCGAAACAAGTGTATCGAAATCGCGTAAGAGTGAAATAAGAGACGAAGCGTATATTGAACGTATCCTTCTTTCATTTGATTACACTGAAAGAACGATTGGAGAAAAGAAGAGAGAAAAAAACGCACGAAGAAATACATACAGTGTGTGTGAGAGATAGAGAGAGCGTACGATTCAATGCCGACAGCAATATTTACAAATTGTCAACGTGCTTTCAAGGTTGAAGTATCGATACCGTCAATCAAATAGGCGGAGAACGAGTGGTGGCAGAAGAGAGACGAAGGAACGGAATGAAAATAAATATAAAAAAAATGTTTGTAAACTGAAGCGGACTTTCCCGAGTTGCCGTTACGTAACGCTGAAGAGGCTTAGAAAGAGGAAACGAGGTGGAAAAATTGTTATAGGCGTTCGGTGAAACTGCAAAAAGGTTCTCAAATGCGTGTTTGCTTATTGCGTCCACCTTGATGGATTAATTCAACTTTTGAGAAAGGACAATTCACTCATTACTTGCAAAGTAGCAATCACCATAGAATCATAGTATCATAACGACATAACAAAGTAACCGTTAACAAAACAATGGTCAATGTAATCTCCATGACGACCATAGATTATTACGCAAGTACTTGCGCAAGTATCGAGATCAAAGGGAAAACCGTCCGAAAAGCGAGACGGAAATGTGTGATCGAGAAGAAAATCGCACGGGGAAACGATTCAACCGGAACCGTTGTCTTTTCGCACTTTCTCCGCGCCACAGCAATTACAGACTCGTTGTTAGGTAACGAACGGAGAGTAACGTAATAACGAGGTTCGATCCCTCTTTTATTTTTTTTCTTCTTCTCCATTTTCCTCGCCTACCTCCCAAAATTTACGAGGTGCGAAAACCCTTTGACACATCGTAAACGGGTTTTCCTTCTTCCCTTTTTGAAGAAAGGAAATGCTAACAGTATCTTTTGTAAAACATGAATTTTGTAAAAGTTTACTACGTTCGCAGTGAAAGGTGTGAACTTGTTATTATTTATTTATTTTTTTGTCGATGCGCATCAAATAATAACCGGTAATCATCTGTTCGTAAAACTTTACCACTGGATGAATAAAAAAAAGGTATTTTTTACTGACTTCGATTACCTTACCAATTTCTTTCCCAAACTTCACTCAATTATGACAGGATTTTCTGTCATTCTGAATTAACAAAATACGGAAATTACGTTTTCTTTAAATATCAATTAAATCGACATTATTTGAATACGATTAATGATTTGAAAGAAAAATTCTAGGAAATATATGAACGCGGAAATCGTTACAGCCTAATCAAATATCAATTAAATCAGCATATTCAACGACAATTGGCGAATCGTAAATGTTTGCGTTTCGTATTAGTCCTTTTAGTCGCCTTCTACGACAAGCAGGAGATACTTTGGTCGTATTCTTCGAAACCCCGAAACCAAAGGGTGAAATTTCAAATAAAATTAGTAAATCGATATTGTTTGAATTATTTCTGCGAATGTAGACAGTAAATGAAATGTTTCGCGTGCGAAACGTCGGACCATCGATAATTTGCATACTGTTACCGTTGTCATGGTTATCAAATGGTTGTCAAGGGATTTAACAGAGGCCATATTGTTTTATTGCCGGGGTCCTTTTAGTCGCCGCCTCCTACGACGCAAATACTTTGATCGTATTCTAAAAAAAAACCAAAGGGCCCGAGCGCTCGGTAACATTAATAAACTAATAATTGATGGTGAAAAGTCAATGGGCGAAGAAGTTAAAGGTAACAATACAAAAAAATGAAGCAGGTAATATCAATAAACGAACGAAAAAAAGTTAAGCAACCACAAGATTGTTGTTGTACCGCCTTTGCCTCCTGTGAGGATTGAACTCACGACCCCTGGTTTACAAGACCAGTGCTCTGCCACTGAGCTAAAGAGGCTTACATAATATTTTACGAAATTCATGCGTTACGCGCAGCCGCGTTTCTGATCACTTATCTGAGTCTTATTCGCTGAATTGCACAAAATTCATCGGTAATTGACAAATGTTTGCATGAACATTTGCAAATTGTATTCTAAATAAAGTTTTAAATGTGAAAAAAGATTCAATTGAAAATAAATTAATAAATAAATTGATCGCTTTTCATGAATGAACAATAATTATGTGCACGTTATGCAACTCTGTTTGCACCTGTTTGATAGCGTTTCGAAGTGTTTGACGAAAATTTTGTTGAAAACGTGCATGCTTGAGAGATCGATCTCTTTTCGTCTGCGATTATATAACGACGCACGAACGGACGTGCAGCGGCGACCTTGCGCGCTGCTTGCAGCAACAGTGCAATGCCGTAACGTTCGAATTGTTTGTTTATCGTTGTTGTTGTTATTATTATTCTTTCTGAATTAAAAAATAAAATTGTTTTCTATTGTATGTTGGGCTGCGTGCGTTTAAGATGCAAACAAAACGCGAAGTGCGGTTGTTAAGGTCAAAGGACGGATGGATGCAATAGCAATTTGCATTAGACCAACATTTTCGTAAGCGCACTAAAAAATCGATGAAAATTTAACGTAGTCGTCGCCGAGCAACAGGTGAAAGAACAAAACAAATGCGGTTGCCATGGAGAGAGAGAGGAAACAAATAGGTGTACATGAAACAATCGCGATTGCGGAAAAAGGCTGCTCGATTTTCCCATGTCCGCGATCAAGGAAACGGCGATAAATGAAAAACAATCTGCCGGCAACCTTGATTTCTCTTTCTTTTAT